CTTTGCTCTCCGGAGCAGGGCACCGTTGAAAGGAGTGATAACGGGGGTGGCATTAAGTGTTGAGGAGGAACAGTTGAAATTGAAGATTCCCTGTGTTTGTGACGCCCGCCGTTTGGTGCGACAGATCCGGTGGAGAGCGCGGGGAAACAGAGAAGACATTGTCTGTCCTGCTAAATTTTGATGTCGAGTCTTTGCCCGACAAGGTCAAGTTAAGAAGTATAAGGTATCCCGTGAGAGCTTTTGTTCCGAAAATACTACAGTGTTTTAGGTGTCAGGTTGTTGGGCATGTTGCAGCAGTTTGTAGGAGGGAGATTCCTAGATGTGAGAAGTGTGCAGGAGGGCATGAGACGAAGGAATGTGTAGTATCGGTGGAGAAAGTTGTGTTTGTTAGTTGTGGGGGTGCCCATGGGACTGGAGATCAGAGGTGTCCGGTGAGAGAATGGCAGGTTGAGGTTGCCAGTACTGCAGAAAGTGCCGTATGCCAAAGCAGTGAAGAGAGTGGTAGAGGATGATGGTTAACAGGGTGAGGGATATTGAGAGGATTCCTGTGAGTAGGCAGAGACCAAGAGAGAGTGATGGGAAGAATATGTGCTTCAGTACATTGGGCTTTTTAGCATTCATAGCCATGGTTGTCAATTGTCCTGCAGAAATGGATCGAAAGTCACAGAAAATAGAGGTTGTGGTGGCAGTGGCAGAGTACTTGGGATTACGAGGATTTACTGCAGAACAGTTGCAGGGGTGTTGAATGGTAATGTTCTGTCCTCTCAGACCGTTACGGGTCTGGAGTAGGATTAGATAGGGTTAAATCATGTAATGGGGTGGTGTTTTCTTTTTATAGAGGGCTAATAGTTGGAAGGGCTTTTCCTTTTCCCCAATTTTGTTTTACCGTATCAAGAATTTAATGTAGGTAGGCCATGAATGGCCTCACACACCAGTACAGTAGGTGGCGGTGTATGCGTCTAAAAGTTGGATGCGATTTGCCAACCAAATTGTAAAGAAGAAGATACTCTAGTGCATGCAGACAGTACTGTCAGTGGAGGAGAGAGAATGTAGAGTGGCACACAGTGTTTGATATGATTTTAGCTGGCGGTGATGGGCAGGACTCGCAGAAGGTATGTTTGTAAATGAATATGATCAAGCTATGTAGCCTATTGATTCCTTCTTGATGAATAAATAAAATAAACATGTTTTGTTTCTCTATAATACTAGCCACCTAGCAATTTTATGAAGTTGGCTTTAGCTAGCTAGCCAGCTACTGTAGATAGGTTCCCAATCTCCCCACTTCATAACTAGCTACCAAGTCATTTCAGGCTATCAATCAAGTTAGAGTAGTTTGTCTATTTTAGCTGGCATGCCTGCTGGCAAGGTTGCTAGACTTTAGAAAAGCAAGCAATTACTAAAACCACTGAATATCACTCACATAAGAACCACCAGTCAGGAGAATACAGACAGTTCAAGAGGTATGCTTAGATATGCAGAAATATACTTGGTTTAAATGTAATCTGGCACATTTGTGTATTAATTGATGATGCGTGTTATGATCCCATGTACTGTGTTGCAATTTGGATGTAATATCCTAGGCATGTTAGTGCAGTATATTGAGATGTGTGATTTACAACAGTCAGAATGACACCCTCATTAAAATGACAATTGAACAGGTAAAGAGGTATGCTTAGATAACCTATGCAGAAAAATAGGCATATTTTGACATAGAATTAGGAATAATGATTATGGCTCTAGATTGCAGGAAAAAGCTGTTTCAGGTGTTTGAAAAATACATCCTAACATACTTTGTGTCCCCTCTAAAATAATGACGCCTCTACAGCAGGGATAGGTAACTAACATTTTTTGTATTTGTATTTTTTTAACAAACAACGGCGGCTTGGCCACAACCAGCAACATGCCATCAAAGGACCAACACAGAACCATTTTCAATAGGTGGCTTGCCATGACAGGACTGCAATCCGCAAATGCAAGGCCACCAACCAGCCGCCTACGAAGGCTTTTCAGCGGGCTAAGATTGGTGTCCTGGGTGGTTGCTAGCTAGGCAGGAAATCATAGCATACATCCTCTGCTCCGGGGTGAAGTTCCTCTCCCCAAATCCTAACCTTAAGCGTTAGTGAGGAAAATGCAAGACTGACCCAAGATCAGCGTCTAGGGGCAACTTCACCCTACACCACATCCTCCTGAGGCTGTACGACACTTCACCCTACACCACATCCTCCTGAGGCTGTACGACACTTCACCCTACACCACATCCTCCTGAGGCTGTACGACACTTCACCCTCCACCACATCCTCCTGAGGCTGTACGACACTTCACCCTACACCACATCCTCCTGAGGCTGTACGACACTTCACCCTACACCACATCCTCCTGAGGCTGTACGACACTTCACCCTCCACCACATCCTCCTGAGGCTGTACGACACTTCACCCTACACCACATCCTCCTGAGGCTGTACGACACTTCACCCTCCACCACATCCTCCTGAGGCTGTACGACACTTCACCCTACACCACATCCTCCTGAGGCTGTACGACACTTCACCCTCCACCACATCCTCCTGAGGCTGTACGACACTTCACCCTACACCACATCCTCCTGAGGCTGTACGACACTTCACCCTCCACCACATCCTCCTGAGGCTGTACGACACTTCACCCTCCACCACATCCTCCTGAGGCTGTACGACACCCAAACAAAAAGGATGGCATCTGAAATGGCAGGAGATCAGCACACATTCCAGCTGCTTTCAGACCCTGCTCTGGCCAGAGATACAAAGTACCCAAATGACTTTAGGTACAGGCAGTTGTTTACGCGTTGTTTCAACAAAAAAATTCAATGTGATGACATTGAATCAACGTGGAAAACTGATAGGATTTGCAAAAAGTCATTAACATCAATGAATTTCAGGAATGTTTCTTTTTTTCACCCAAATCCAATTACATAGTTCAAGTTGTTGTTGATTTCACGTTAGTTTACAACTCAATCAAATGTTGGAAGGCATATCAATGGACTAACTAGCTGACTATTAGGGCCTAGGACACATTCTCTACACTTTAATCATGGCTTTTACTCAGACACCTATGATTGTGTACATTGTTGCATGACTGAATATGATTCGGTTAACTGTATCTGACTGAATTATGTAAATCGTTTTTTTGTGCTGAGTGCTGACTTTAACAAAATGAATAAAGGTGGTGTTATCTAATCTGTTCCTGCACTGTACATTTGAAACAGTGATTCATAGCACAAGTCCATAGTTTACAGCAGGGCTGCACACACACCCTGTCCTCTTACTCTCAGTTGTTTTCTTATAGTCGCTATGATTTCCTGGCATGGCGGTCAAACACTTAGACAGAATATCTGCAAGCACTAAGGACGTTGTACTAGCCCAAAAGGTGTAAGACTAAGTATTATGACCCATACAAGATACCACAGGAAGCATCCCATGCTTACACCCATAAAATAACTTTTGAGTCCTGGATTAATTTTGTCTAAATTTTACACAAATGTTAAAATTTGTGTTCAGATTTCTATGTTATCTTTTTATAACAATTAGTATTGGAAAATAAATTGAAACACTGACTATACATCTTTACTGTGTCATTTGACATATTACAGATAATCCTGAATGAATCGTGAATAATGAGTGAGAAAGTTACAGATGCACAAATATCATACCCCCAAGACATGCTAACCTCTCACTATTACAATAACAGGGGAGGTTTGGAAGCGGGGGGGGGTATGATATTTGTGCATTTGTAACTTTCTTGCTCATCATTACTCACGATTCATTCAGGACTACCGGTAATCATGGTAGCATCCACATGAATGTAGAAGTGTTTAGAAACATTATATTCTTATTTAGAATAAATGACACAATACATGATTTACCATTCATTTCTATTGGGCAAACAAATTATCTGAAACAACCAAAACAAACAGCAAATGCATGCAACAAATTTGTAGAGTCACACGCTTGATGTAGTCATTTCATGTTATGAATATGGGACCAAATACTAAACTTTTTACTACTTTAATACACATAAATGAATTTGTCCCAATACTTTTGGTTCCCTAAAATGGAGGGACAATGTACAAAAAGTGCTGTAATATCTAAAGGTTCACCCAATATGGATGAAAATACCCTCAAATTAAAGCTGACAGTCTACAATTTAACCTCAGTCATTGTATCATTTTCAAATCCAAAGTGCTGGAGTACAGAGCCAAAACAACAACAAAAGTGTCACTGTCTCAATACTTTTGGAGCTCACTGTATATGCCAATGAGGAATGACGGGGATGATTAGGTGGCCATGATGGAAATGGGGCCAGGTTGGGAATTTAGCCAGGACAACAGGGTTAACACCCTTAGTCTTGCGATAAGTGCCAAGTGGGTTTGACCACAGCATTAAAGGTCCAATGTATCATTTTTTATCTCAATATCAAATAATTTCTGGGTAACAAATGTGATTGTTTAAAATTGTCAAAAAGAAATGGAGACCTCTGGAACTGTACATTTTCTAGTAGGATAGAGCCATATCCATTAGGCTAAAGAACAGCGTTCCACACTTTGCCTTCTCCTGTCCTGTGTGTTTGTGTGTATAGTACAGGACAGGAGAAGGCAAAGTGTGGAACGCTGTTCTTTAGCCTAATGGATATGGCTCTATCCTACTAGAATAAGTACAGTTCCAGAGGTTAAGAAGCTATTTCTCAAGCAAGAATTTTGCTAGGACTGTCTGGGAGTGGTCTGAGTGGGGAGGGGGAAACTAGCTATTATTGGCAGAGAGGTTTGGAACTTTCTTATTGGTCTATTAACTAATTTATGTCACCAGGCAGGCCAAAACTCCATCCCACCACAACAAGCTGAGATTTCAGTCAGTATTTTCAAACAGCTCTTACACTAAAAGGAAAGTATCATCATTTATCACAATGTCACTGAATTATTCCAACCTCAGTGTGAAAATATATATAAAACACAGGAAAACCACGTTTTTGACTGCACTGGGCCTTTAACAGAGATAAAAGATAGAGACTAAGAGGGGGAGAGAGAGAGAGAGACAAAGGGAAGTTCACTTGTTGAGTGAGGGACTGCACTGAAGCAGGTTGAAACCACAGGCACCAGCAGTGTCCACCTCTATCTCAGTCGTAGTGAAGGCTTTTGAAGTTGAAGCGTTTCCTCTCTGTGAAACCTGTCATCTGGAGAGAGGAGGAGAGATGGTTTTATGTTTCAAGTCCAGAGCTGATAAAGTAATGGTTTCAAAATTGGAAAGACCAGAGCAGTGTTTCATGTTCATTATGGACACATAGACAATCACTTACTTGACTAGGGTCTCTGGTGAAATATCTCTTCTCTACGACCTAAAATAAAAGACAAGTATTCATGCACTCTCTTGGAATGTGGATACTCATGTATAAAAATAACAGTATATTAAGGGGGGTAAAATATGTAAGCAAAAGCTTCAGCTTCTGAACGTCTCACCTTGTCAAAGAATCTGCTCAACTTCACAGCGTTCGACGTGCCTGCAGCAAAGTACCTTTGATTGGTGCAATCCTGTTACGAGAGTCAAGGAAAAAACATGACCTAAACCACAAGCCTCAATGCAAAAAGGTTAAAAATGACTTCCACTACCTGTAGCCTATTCAATAGCTGTTACCATACTAATGATGTGTGCCCACTGCCCATACATTGACCATACATTGGGCTTTCATTGTTAGCAAATGCACAATGCTGCAGCAAATAAGGTTTTCTTTGACCGAGTGATGGGTACCTCAGAATCCATAGAGGCCTAGAAGGATAGTTGAGGTGAGGCTTCACCTACCAGATTGATCTCCTCTGCATTGAAGTCTTCAGACAGGAAAGCTGTCCTGGTGAGAACATCATTCCTCTTGTTCTCTGGGATCTGGTCAAACTTGGTGCCGATCAGGAGCAAAGGCACGGAGCTATCAGCAAACTGTTCTCTGTCGTAATCACTGGAGGTGTTCAGGCAAGACATTCAAGACAAGACTTTCAAGACAAGTAAGTAAACTTACTCAAAGTGCCTATACAGGATAACAACTTCTATTTAACAAGCATAATATGTAATAAATTGAGGTAGGCTATTTGATTCCAGCAGTAGGAGATACTTACCCATTTGAGACGATTACCCCCGTTGGGGAGGAGTCTTTGTTCAAGGCTTCTAGTGACCAGCGATACAGATTCTGGGAGGATTTCTTGTTCGTCAGGTCGTGAACTAATACAATACCTGTAAGGATACAAATAATGTGTCATTACTGATCTATACAAGTCATCGTTTTCCTCATGTGGTGACTGACAGACCAGTCAGTGCTGTGTCTTTACCATTGACAGAGTTGTAGAAAACTGCTCTGGTGTTTTTCAGACTGCTGGCGCAGCCCACAGATCCTCCAACATCCCATAATTCAATGTAGTAGGTCTTCTCCTCTGGAGTGCCCTCCTTGTAGTCGTGGACCTGTAAAAGCGACTCTTAGAATAACCTTAGAATATAGAATAACTTTAATGTTCCTAACTGGTAAACCTCCAAGTAAAGAAATCTCTTCAGGGAAAAACAATGAGTCAAGAAATAACAAAAAAAGATCAACCATTGAGTTTAGTTTGAGTTAATTTTTTTTACAGGGGACAGTGCACATTAATCAACGTTTCAGTAAAAGTGCCAGTTTTAGCCACATTTTCAAGAGCAGTCCTTTCTTACCCGTACATCCACCGAACAGCCTACAGTCCATGATGGATTTCCCAACACTTGGTTCTGACACAGCAGATGAACGAGTGAGGACTTCCCAACACCTGCCATGACAAAATAATTATAGCTAGTGAGACACATCCAGTATTTTTCAAGCACATAGCTAAGTTTGCTTCTCATGTCTAGGTATATTTTAAGTGCATCAAGTGAAGCTAGCTACCACGGATAGACACAAGGGGGCATTCATGTTTTAGATAAGCATTATTTTTGGCCAAACCAAGTCGAAAGACACAACCTATACATTTCCAAAAGACAATACGATTAGTCAGACATAAACGAATAGGACACCAACCTGAATCTCCCAAAACTAGCACTTTCACTCTGTCAAGAGACGCCATTTAATTTTCGTCACGGAAGTAAACAGTAAAGTTCCAGCCCAAAGAATACCACTCGTTCTCTAATTGGTTTAAGAGAATGGTTTCCGTTTCAAACCGGATCCACTTTTACAAGAACAACATTGGAAATTGTGAACGTCAATCAAAACAATTTGGCGATCATTGGCTGTTGAAGGACAGCATGACGTACAGCCAATTGGAATAGAGAACATTATTTTCCGGGATTCCATTGCAAAATATATAGAAAAGTACGAGGCAGAGCATCCACAAGCTTTCAAGTTGTTACAAGAGAACACATGCAATTGAGTGAGTGCGGATTCTCTGTATTTCATGCATGTGTTGTAGTTAAAGCTAGCTCATTTATTCTCACAGTGATACATTTTGTTGCGCTAACCTGTGAGGTAGCTAGCTGTAAGCTAAGCTAGCTACTGTTAGCATAGTTGTTAGCGAGCCAGTTTGACTGCTATTCATTCCGTTTCCATTCGCGAGTATTAGCTAACAACTAACAGTATCGTTTGCTAAATAATATTTTGGCTAACCATATAGGTTCTGCGTTACAGTCGTTTCATCTCTCATTCGGATATGTTTGACTGTAACTGTTATGACTTACAAACTAGCTATCCACATTGCCAACCCGGCCACGTTGGATGAACACATGTTCATGTTTTTAACAACAGTTCCTTATTTATATACATACAGTTTCTGTGAAGTCCTACTGATGGATAGTGATGTCTAAGTTTCTATACCAGATTGTATAAACAGTGTTCCCTTGTTGCAGATCCCACCACAGAGAAGGACGCCCTTGACCCCTTGCTGGGGTTCCTCCCCCTCAAGAACCTCTCCTTTCTGCCTGAAGTTGACCCACCCTCCTGTCCAACCACCCACAGACACTTCTCAGGCTACCTATTGTAGCCTTTACTTATTCCGTAAGCCACTCTCTCTACCAGTCTGCTACCCAATAGGCCATATAGAAGATGTCAGAGCCAGAATTATTAACAGAGGTCCCTGCTTCGCTGAAGCGCCTGGCCAAGCAGGTTGTGCGGGGCTTCTACGGGGTGGAGCATGCCCTGGCTCTGGACGTTCTCATCCGCAACCCCTGCGTCCGTGAGGAGGACATGCTGGAGTTGCTCAAGTTTGACCGAAAGCAGCTGCGCTCGGTGCTCAACACGCTCAAGGGCGATAAGTTCGTCAAGTGCCGCATGCGGGTGGAGACGGCTCCCGATGGCAAGACCACGCGCCACAACTACTACTTCATCAACTACCGCCTGCTGGTCAACGTGGTCAAGTACAAGCTGGATCACATGCGGCGGCGCATCGAGACAGACGAAAGGGACTCAACCAACCGGGCGTCGTTCCGCTGCCCCTGCTGCTTCAGCACCTTCACTGACCTGGAGGCCAATCAGCTGTTTGACCCCATGACCGGTGAGGAGAGAGAGAGGGAGGGGTGGGAGAATAGGGTTGAGGGAGGAGGGAGGGAAGGAGAAAAGGAGAGAGAGTTTTGCAGCAGCATGAGAGGGTCAGAGAGGCACTGGCGGACGTACAATTAGGCAGAAAAGGCAATTGCCTCAGGCCTCACATCAACAAGGCACCTCATGAGCTGGGCATATATACAGTGGGGAGAACAAGTATTTGATACAATGCCGATTTTGCAGGTTTTCCTACTTACAAAGCATGTAGAGGTCTGTAATTTTTATCATAGGTACACTTCAACTGTGAGAGATGGAATCTAAAACAAAAATCCAGAAAATCACATTGTATGATTTTTAAGTAATTAATTTGCATTTTATTGCATGACATAAGTATTTGATACATCAGACAAGCAGAACTTAATATTTGGTACAGAAACCTTTGTTTGCAATTACAGAGATTTTCCTGTAGGTCTTGACCAGGTTTGCACACACTGCAGCAGGGATTTTGGCCCACTCCTCCATACAGACCTTCTCCAGATCCTTCAGGTTTCAGGGCTGTAGCTGGGCAATACAGACTTTCAGCTCCCTCCAAAGATGTTCTATTGGGTTCGGGTCTGGAGACTGGCTAGGCCACTCCAGGACCTTGAGATGCTTCTTACGGAGCCACTCCTTAGTTGCCCTGGCTGTGTGTTTTGGGTCGTTGTCATGCTGCAAGACCCAGCCACGACCCATCTTCAATGCTCTTACTGAGGGAAGGAGGTTGTTGGCCAAGATCTCGCGATACATGGCCCCATCCATCCTCCCCTCAATACGGTGCAGTTGTCCTGTCCCCTTTGCAGAAAAGCATCCCCAAAGAATGATGTTTCCACCTCCATGCTTCACGGTTGGGATGGTGTTCTTGGGGTTGTACTCATCCTTCTTCTTCCTCCAAACATGGCGAGCGGAGTTTAGACGAAAAAGCTCAAATTTTGTCTCATCAGACCACATGACCTTCTCCCATTCCTCCTCTGGATCATCCAGATGGTCATTGGCAAACTTCAGACGGGCCTGGACATGCGCTGGCTTGAGCAGGGGGACCTTGCGTGCGCTGCAGGATTTTTAATCCATGACGGCGTAGTGTGTTACTAATGGTTTTCTTTGAGACTGTGGTCCCAGCTCTCTTCAGGTCATTGACCAGGTCCTGCCGTGTAGTTCTGGGCTGATCCCTCACCTTCCTCATGATCATTGATGCCCCACGAGGTGAGATCTTGCATGGAGCCCCAGACCGAGGGTGATTGACCGTCATCTTGAACTTCTTCAATTTTCTAATAATTGCGCCAACAGTTGTTGCCTTCTCACCAAGCTGCTTGCCTATTGTCCTGTAGCCCATCCCAGCCTTGTGCAGATCTACAATTTTATCCCTGATGTCCTTACACAGCTCTCTGGTCTTGGCCATTGTGGAGAGTTTGGAGTCTGTTTGATTGAGTGTGTGGACAGGTGTCTTTTATACAGGTAACGAGTTCAAACAGGTGCAGGTAATGAGTGGAGAACAGGAGGGCTTCTTAAAGAAAAACTAACAGGTCTGTGAGAGCTGGAATTCTTACTAGTTGGTAGGTGATCAAATACTTATGTCATGCAATAAAACGCAAATTAATTACTTAAAAATCATACAATATGATTTTCTTGATTTTTGTTTTAGATTCCGTCTCTCACAGTTGAAGTGTACCTATGATAAAAATTACAGACCTCTACATGCTTTGTAAGTAGGAAAACCTGCAATATCGGCAGTGTATCAAATACTTGTTCTCCCCACTGTATATATATATATATATATATATATAAGTTTGGACACACCTATTCATTCAAGGGTTTTCCTTTATTTTTACAATTTTCTACCTTGTAGAATAATAGTGAAGACATCAAAACTATGAAATAACACATGGAATCATGTAATAACCAACAAAATGTAACAAAAATCAAAATATATTTTAGATTCTTCAAAGTAGCCACCCTTTGCCTTGATGACCGCTTTGCACACTCTTGGCATTCTCTCAACCAGCTTCACCTGGAATGCTTTTCCAACAGTCTTGCTGAGCACTTGTTGGCTTCTTTTCCTTCACTCTGAGGTCCAACTCATCCCAAACCATCTCAATTGGGTAGAGGTCGGGTGATTGTGGAGGCCAGGTCATCTGATGCAGCACTCCATCACGCTCCTTTTTGGTAAAATAGCCCTTACACAGCCTGGAGGTGTGTTGGGTCATTGTCCTGTTGATAAACAAATGATAGTCCCACTAAGCCCAAACCAGATGGGATGGCATATCGCTTCAGAATGCTGTGGTAGCCATGCTGGTTAAATGTGCCTTGAATTCTAAATAAATCACAGACAGTGTCACCAGCAAGCACCATCGCACCACCTCCTCCATGCTTCATGGTGGGAACTACACATGCGGAGATCATCCGTTCACCTACCTGCGTCTCACAAAGACACTGCGGTTGGAACCAAAAATCTCAAATTTGGACTACAGACCAAAGGACAGATTTCCACTGGTCTAATGTCCATTGCTCGTGTTTCTTGGCCCAAGCAAGTCTCTTCTTATTGGTGCCCTTTAGTAGTGGTTTCTTTGCAGCAATTCAAACATGAAGGCCTGATTCACACAGTTCCCTCTGAATAGTTGATGTTGAGATGTGTCTGTTACTTGAACTCTGTGAAGCATTTATTTGGGCTGCAATTTCTGAGGCTGGTAACTCTAATGAACATATCCTCGGCAGCAGAGGTAACTCTGGGTCTTCCTCTCCTGTGCCGGTCCTCATGAGAGCCAGTTTTATCATAGCGCTTGATGGTCTTTGCGACTACTTGAAAAAATGTCCGGATTGACTGACCTTCATGTCTTAAAGTAATGATGGACTGTCATTTCTCTTTGCTTATTTGAGCTGTTCTTGCCATAATTTGGTCTTGGTCTTTTACAAAATAGGGCTATTTTCTGTATACCACTCCTACCTTGTCACAACACAACTGATTGGCTCAAACACATTAAGAAGGAAATAATTTCCACAAATTAACTTTTAAGGCACACCTGTTAATTGAAATGCATTCCAGGTGACTACCTCATGAAGCTGGTTGAGAGAATGCCAAGAGTGTGCAAAGCTGTCATCAAGGCAAAGGGTGGCTACTTTGAAGAATCTCAAATATAAAATATATTTTGATTTGTTTAACACTTTTTTGGAATGAGTAGGTGTGTCCAAACCTTTGACTGGTACTGTGTGTGTGTATATATATATATATATATATATATATATATATATATATATATATATATATATATATATATATATATATATATATATATATATATATATATATATATACATACATACATACAGTGAGGGGAAAAAAGTATTTGATCCCCTGCTGATTTTGTACGTTTGCCTACTGACAAAGAAATGATCAGTCTATAATTTTAATGGTAGGTTTATTTGAAGTGAGAGACAGAATAACAACAAAAAAATCCAGAAATACATGTCAAAAATGTTATAAATTGATTTGCATTTTAATGAGGGAAATAAGTATTTGACCCCCTCTCAATCAGAAAGATTTCTGGCTCCCAGGTGTCTTTTATACAGGTAACGAGCTGAGATTAGGCGCACACTCTTAAAGGGAGTGCTCCTA